CGGAATAGCAGGAAGGTCAAGACGACAATTTAGATACAACTCCCTGTTGCCTTTTCCGGCATCGCCGCTGTAATAATGTTATTCGTTCTCCTTCCTCCATGCTTCTTTTCCATATTTTCGCCGTGCGCTGCGCATCCCCCCCACCCTCCTCCTCCTCAGCTCTTTTTTTTGCGGGGGCTCCTCCTTGGAGAGCCTCTGGGGGCCTCGCAAAAGTTGTCTCGGGCTCTCTTAAGGCCTTCTGGAGGCCTCCTGGGCGCATTCAGGGGGCCTCTGGGGACTTCCTCGGGCCAACCTGCCTCCAACCGCGGTCCCCCTGTAAGACAGGGTCACGATTTGGAGTGCTTCGGAGGGTGTCTTGGGGCCGTTTTGGGCCGCCATGGGGCTCTGTGAAAGCTATATTGGGCCCGTGTTGTGCCGTTTTGAGGCTCTCTTGAGCTGCCTGGAAGCCCTTTCGGGTGGTCGCGGGGCGATGTTGGAGCCCCCCAGGCGGCTTCGGACGCCCAGAAGACCGCCGTCTTGGAGCGTCGGGAAGCCGAAAAGAGGAGAACCCCCAAATTCAGCAACAAAAACAACAGCGAAACAAATATTTCTGCCTCTTGGGGCCTACTTGGGAGTGCTCTTGGAGGCCTCTTTGGGGCCGCCCTGGAGGCCTCTCGCGCCATCCTGAGGTCACGTCGGTCACTCTTGGAGCGTTCTTGTGCTGTCTTGGGGGTATCTGGGGCGTCTCCGATGACCCCTCTGATCGCCCTAGGCGCGCTGGGGGGGCTTGACAAAACGCCCTGCGAGGCCCGGGCGGCCGCTTCGAGGCCCGTCCGGAGGGCCCCAAAGCCCCAGATCCCGGGAGTCATTTTTTGGTTTTTTTTGGGGGGGCAAGGGGTAAGGGTTTCCCCCCCGCATATGCAAATACATGTATCTAAATACATATATGTGTGTATGTTTGTATGTATGTATGTGTATATATATACACACACATACATATCAACAGCAGCCAAACGCTCCGTTGCGCAAGGCGCCCATGGGGAAGAGCAGCTCAGGTGTCGGCGCGCAGCGAGGCCCGCGCAGTTGGTGCCTGCCCGCTGCGTCGAGGTCGGCGGGGGCGCCGTCGGGCGCCGAGGACTGCGAGGCGAGCGCAAGGCCGCGAGCGTTGATCGCCTCCTCCGCCCCGCGCCGCCACCGCTCACCCTTGGCGGCCCGCGAGGCCGGCGCCGACTCGACGCGGCGCTTCGCCGCTCCGCGGCCGACGAAGAGGGCGCCCGAATGATCCTGGTCGCCCGCGCTGGCGTCGGCGGAGTAGACGGCGTCGTCGCAGGGCCGCTTGGCGCCGTGGAAGGCGGAGGCGATGAGAGCGGCAGCCGCTCGGAGCTGTCGAACCAGATCGGGCCGCGATCTCCAGCGGCTGCCAGCCGCTCTCTTGATGAACCGATACATGGACTGAGACGCGCGCAAGGGGGGGCGGCCTAGAAGCGCTGCCCAGTCGAAGTGGCCCACGGGGCACGCGAGGCTCGACCCCGCGGCGAAACGTTGGAAGCCCTGACAGAACAAAGCCCGGCGACTCTTCCACGCGCTTGCCCTGCACGCAGAAGCCCCCCTCTACGCGACCGCGATCGAAGATCAGGCCCGTGAGCTTCTGCTCCTGCTCGGGCGGCCCACCCCCTTGCACCCGGCGCCCGCCTCGTCGGCGCCCGCCTGGCTGACCGCCTCATTCTGGTCGGGGCCCGCGACGGCGACGCCGTCGACGCAAGCGGCGGCGCCTGCGCCCTCGCTGTAGTTGGGGGCGACCCTCCCGTCGCGAACATGCCGGCCGTCGTCGACCCCCACTAACATTGGCATGCCTTGCGCGGCCCGCAGGCAGAAGACGAGACTCCAATTCCATCCCGCGGGTGCCCCTTTCAAACATGATGCACGTTTGCGAGACACAATATGGTCGAGCACGCCGGGTACCCAGACGTCGGCCAGCACGCCGCGGCCAACGTCGGGAAGGGCGATTAGCTCACTGAGACCTGGCAGCGCCAGAAGCACTGGAACGGCGGCCCTCAGTCGCACTGGCCGAGGCAGAGACCGCCATCCGCGTCGCGAGCCGCAGGCGCCGCCCCCCCCGGCCCCGCCGTCGGCAACTCCGCGACGTCGGGATCGTAGAACGGCCAAGTGTCTAGGCGCGCGTCCAAGACCACCCGCCGCTTGCGACTGCTGCCCCCCCCCCCTGACATCGAAGAACCGGGCTGGCGGGCGCTTCCGCTCCGACGCAACTAGACCACGTCTGCGTCGAACAAATCCTTCGCGCGGCACGCGCCGAGGGCAAGCCCTTCGAACCATGAACACATCAATCGGTGACCACCTCCTCGCATCCAATCGCATCCCAACGCCCCCTCCGGAAAACAGAACCGCTTTCGCTGGGGGCCACTCGTGTCCGGGGACGCAGCCGCCCAGCTCTCTGCGCGCCGACGCGGGGCCGATGCCTGACACCGGCGGTTGGCCGCCACAGAAAAAACTTCAGTTCGACGCTGGCCGCGCAAACGCACCAACGCAAAATCGACAGCGACCGAGCGGGCGCCCGCTGGGGCCCGACAAGAATCAGGCGTTGGCAGAACTGGGTTCAGTGGGGCCTGGTTTAGCGATGCGTACTTGGGGGCGCCCCCCCCCCCGCCACGTTCCACTGACCGGAACTGTCGTCGCCTGAAAATCACAGCTACGGCAGACCTGGCTTAATGTTTCTGGCCAACTTAAGGGCTCTGGGGCTCTGCCACTGACCTGCCCTCCCCCCCACCTAGGGCCTCGGCAAAACCTGCCAAATATCTGCATGTCCGAGCTGGGCCGCTGAGAGCTGCCCGAAGCCCTCTCCGCCAGGCCGCCTATTGAAGAAGTTCCGTGCGGATGTGGCCTCGCTGGCCCCCAGCTCAGCAGCCAACCCCAAACGGCCGCGTCTCCGTCGCTTTCCGGGCATCTGAGAAGCATGCGCGACGCCGGCGGCGCTCGAAGTGCGACGTTGCAGGATGCAGCGGGATCGGCCAGACACCCGCTACACCACCAAAGCGAATGATGTGATGAAGGCTACTCGCCACCAGCGCCGCAGCCACAGCCCTGGCCCTTTTGGTTGGCCTTCGGCGAAGCGATCTGAGCTTCCAACTTCTGGAAATCGGCTTTTCTGCGTGTCCACCGTGCCTTTCATGCTGGATAAGCGATCTTTGTCGGTCGAACTTCTCACTCCGTGCTCTCACCGAGACGCCATCCTCTCCTCCTTCAGCTTTCAGCACTCCTTGAGCACGAGACTTCCACTGTGCAGCCCATCGGTCACGAAGACGAGCAACGTTGGCGATGCGCAGACAGGCCCGCGAGTTTCACGTGTCCCAGGATACAAAGCAGAACGCTCAAGCAACTCATCGCCACGCGAGGGTGGTAATAATCGATCCCTGTAGCGGTACTCTGGCACAAAGAGTCGTCTGCAACACAACCCAGCACAATATACCTCGCTAGCATTCAGCAGGCCGGACGTGAGAAAAGATGCATGCCACGACAACACAATTCAAGAAACGATAAGTCCTGATCTGAGATTGACCATCCTGGCTCAGCCTTGAACTTGGCATGCCTCGATCCGAAGGTCATCTCATTGTCGGCACGAACTCACACATCAATTCCAAAGCGCGTGGGCAAAAGCCCCGGTCAACTTTGCAACAGCCTCAAGCGTGCCCAAAATTCTCGCCGTAGGCGTGAGCCTGAGAACGAGCATCCGCGCGTCGAGCTCGTCGCCGCCGTCGTCGGGCAACGCCTTCAGCAACACCGGCCTGCCGTCGAGCTTACCAGGGCCGAGCCAAACACAGATCATGGACACGTCAAGCTTTTTTTTTTCCCGTCACAACTCCTTTGCCGTCAGTGCCGTTGCTGGCTGTCGCGCGCCACATAGCAGCCTTGGCGGCGGAAAATTGTTTTTTGCCCGACGCCCATCCATTCGGCATCTTCTCCTTCGAGGTCGAGGATGACGCTTTCCCAGCCTCTGCCGACCTCGGCGCCGCTGCTGCTGCAGGTGGGTCCTCCTCTGTTGCTTCCTCTGCCAGCCACGCCTCGATCACCACGTTGAGTCACCATGGCGAAGCGCGTCAGGAAGGCGAGGTCCGCGGGGATCGGCGAAGTCTGCGAGTCCTGCTGGATTGGCCCCCTCGCGATTTGTTATCTGCCGTCGATTCCTCATATTGGGAAACACTGTGATGCGCATGGCCCGGTCCGTCAGCCCGTGTGGGTATACGTCGCCGTCGGGAATCACCATGTACCAGATCCTGTTCGAGGCGGCGGCGCCATCCGAAACAGCGGCTCCTGTCATCTCGGTGTACCCCTCGGGACTGCACCTCGTGAGAGCTACGCGTGTGTGCAAGGGCTTCCCTGCTCGTCGCTGAACTTTGAACCGTTGCCCTGCGTGGACGAGGAAAGGCATACTGTCCGATCACGAAGCCAAGCGTCAAGCAGAAAACGGCCAGCGAAGCTGCCCCCCAATCCAGAGAGCCCAACACCGAGAGTGCGAAACCGCACCCGGCGGCGCCGCCGACAGCGCCTCGCACCACTTTCCAGACCGCCTCGGAGACGAGCCAGGTTCCAGCCGAGGAGCCCCACTCGGCGACCTGAGACCACACCATGAAGCGGCGGTCGAATCGGTTTGTGCTTGGATTTGGAGCGGAGCCCGAACGGCCACGGAACGGAGCAGACCAGTACGATACATTATCAGAATCACCACCATCAGCGTTATCATCATTATCATCCTCATCATCAGCATCGTCAGCAACGCCACCATCATCCTCATCCTCATCCTCCTCCTCTTCCTCCTCCTCCTCCTCCTCCTTCTCCTCCTCCTCATCATCATGGTCACCATCACCATCATCATCGTTCTCCTCATCATCACCATTACCATACATACTCAGCATCATGATCATAACCATCCTCATCCTCATCCTCATCCTCAGCATCATCAACATCATTCTCGCACTCCTCCCACCCGTCGACGTCCCCTGGCGCTCCTCGGAACACGCGGCGCCCCGCGGCGGCGACGGCGCGTCCCGGGGCACTGGCCCGGCGAGGGAACCCGCGGCGGCGGCGGGGCAGGGCTGGTCCTCAGGGAACGACGACGGCTGCGGCGGTGACGACGACGACGACGACGGCGACGATGGGCGATCGACGACGGACGTCCGCAGACGACGACGCTCGACGACGATGGCAGACGGCGGCCAGGGCAGGAGAGGGGTGGGGAACAACGACGACCGCAGACGACGGCGCGGACAACGACAGAGGCAGCGCAGACGACGATGGACGACGATGATAGCGACTATGGTGGACGAGCGAGAACCGTCGACTGGCGACCAACGATGATGAGGCAGCCGACCGCAGACGACGACCACCACCACAACCTCCACAAAGACGACGACCGACGGACATACTGAGAGACCGACGATTGGCATGCGACGACCGTCAACCGACGACCGACGGCAGCAGACGATGAAGACGCCGACGACGACGACGACGACGACGACGACGACGACGACGACGACGACGACGACGACTGACGACTGACGACTGACGACTGACGACAAGGAACGAAAACGAACGACCGACGACGAGGACGAGGAACGATTGGCAAGAAAGGAACGGGTCCTGAGGGAAACGGGCCCTGGATCTAGGGGCCTTCCCCCGCGACCAATCCTTCATCCTAGGTCACGAGGGTCCGAAAGCGGCCAAAGACTTCAGGTCCCGTTTGACCTCTACTGGGGCGCGTTCTGACAGGGACCTCGAGGCGTAGCCAGCCGTGGCGACGAGGGCCACCCAAGACGAGCAACGGCATCGGTACCGACTCCGCTTCGGGGCAAACGGCCGAAAACCTCAGGACCCCTTCCCCTCGGACGCAGGGCCCGTTTGCCGAGGGCAGCTGTGGTCGCGCTTCGCGCCGCGCGAGGGCGCGAACGGCCCACACCCTCGGGCCGCCACCCGGGCCCGCCCCGTGGTGCAGGCGGAGAGCCAGCAACGCTGTGACGATCCGGCGTCGCTGGTGCATACAACCCTCTTGCTCTCACTCCTCGTCTTCAACCTCCTCCTCCTCCTCCTCCTCCTTGTCCCCCTCCCCCTCGATTCTCGACCCCTCCTCAATACTTCCTCCTCCTCCTCCTCCTCCGCCTCCTCGATCCTCGACCCCTCCTCGAGAAGAGGAGGACGAGGCTCAGAATCGGGAGCCGCAAGCCGCGAACAGCTTCTCGCGCCCTCGCGGCGGCCCTTGGCCTGCCTCACGGCAGCGCCGAGAGCCGCCCACCGCGCGGAGCGATATCATCCTCGGCGCCCATTCGGCGCCCCGCGGCGGAGCGGGGGGCGCGGCGTAGAGCGCTGGCTCGGCGGGGGGGCCGGCCGCCGTGCCGCAGCGGGGGGGCGTCCTGGGAGGAGCACCTGTCGCAGCCGCCGTCGGGCCTCCGACGGCGTGATGTCTTGCGTCCTGGAACTCTGTTCCTTGACTTCGTGCCCACTCTGGCCTCTCCACAGAGCCCGCTTCGTGCCGCGGGACCGTCCGCGATGGCGGGGAGGAGTAGACGTCGACGACAGGCGGCGGTGGCAGCGGCGAGGGTCGTCGGCGGCGTCGCTTCCGTTGTCGGCGACAGACGCCGTCCTCCCTCCCTGAAAATCCGCCAGGAGTTGACAGATGCCTCCAGACGCCTCTGGAGGCCCCCGAAGTACCCAAGAACGGAAAAGATCCTCGAATCCTCAAACCCATACAACGACGACGGGCGATGAGGCCCGAGATCCACCGCCGTCGTCGCTGGCCTTCGCTCGACGATCGTCCTTCGTCGATTGTCGTCGTCGTCGATCCTCCTCTTCGGTCCTCCTCCTCGTCGTTGGTGCGTAGTCGTGGTCGCCGCCGTCGATCGTCGTCGTCGATCGTCGTCGTCGTCGTGGGTCGTCGATTGCCGTCCTCGATCGTCGTCGTCGCGGTCGTTGTCGTGGTCGTGGTCGCGGTCGTCGTCGTCGTCGTCGTCGTCGTCGTCGTCGTCGTCGTCGTCGTAGTCGTCGTCGTCGTCGTCTTCGTCGTCGTCGTAGTCGGAGTCGTAGTCGTAGTCGTAGTCGTCGTCGTCGTCGTCGTCTTCGTCGTCGTAGTCGTCGTCGTAGTCGTCGTCGTCGTAGTCGTCGTTTTCGTGGTCGTAACCGTCGTCGTCGTCGTCGTCGTCGTCGTCGTCGTCGTCATCGTCGTCGTCGTCGTCGTCGTCCGTGACGCCGCCGTGGGCTCCTGGCCGGCCGACTGCTCCGAGCTCGTCTGGGACGAGGCGCTCCTGGACGGGGCGCGGCTCGAGGACGGGGCCTCCCACGGGGCGGCGCGTCGTCGACACCGTCGGCCTCGTCGGCGGCCGGTCGTAGTAGTCGTCGTCGTCGTCGTCATCGTCGTCATCGTCGTCGTCGACGTTCGTCGTCGTCGTCGCCGGTGGTCGTCGGCCGTGGGTCCGGATCGCCGTCCACAGTCGGTAGTCGGTCGCCGTGGTCGGTCGCGGGTCGTCGGTCATCGGTCGTCGGTGGTCCGCCGCCGTTCTTGCGGGGGTGGGGGGGACTAGCGCTCCTCTCTGCTGCAGGCCTCCGTCCTGGCCCCCGCCTCGGGATTCCTCCTCCGCCTGCTGATCTCTCCTCCTCCCTCCTCCCCTGGCTCTCGGCGCTCCTCCTCCTCCTCCTCGTCCTCCTCCTCATCCTCCTCCTCGTGTTTCTGATCTTTGAATTGCCCCTGATCCGCCTGTTCCTGCTCCTCCTGATCAACGTCACCACCACCACCATCATAGTGACCCTCATCACCACAAGCATCAGCATAAGCATCAACATCACCATCACCACCACCACCACCACCACCACCATCATCATCGCCATCATCATCGTCATCATCATCGTCATCGTCGTCTGCGCCGTGATCGCCGTCGCCATCATCATCATCGCAATCAAACTCATCATCGACATTACCACCACAATCACGATCACCACCACAACCATCATCATCATCATCATCATCAGCATCATCATCATCATCATCATCATCATCATCATCATCATCATCATCCTCATCCTCATGATCATGATCGTCATCACCATCAGCGTCAGCATCATCATCATCATCATCAGCATCATCATCATCACCATCACCATCACCATCACCATCACCATCACCATCACCATCACCATCACCATCATCATCATCATCATCATCATCATCATCATCATCATCATCATCATCATCGCCATCAACATCATCAGCAGCATCATCGTCAGCAGCATCCTCATCATCATGACTATCATCATTATCATCATCATCATCATCATCATCATCATCATCATCATCATCATCATCATCATCATCATCGTCATCGTCATCGTCGTCGTCGTCGTCGTCGTCGTCAACATCGTCATCATCGTCATCATCATTCATCCCCGTCTTCCTGCCTCCGCCCCCTTTGTCTCCCCCTCCTCTTCCCCTCCCCATCCCACCGCCTCCATCCTCATCCTACTCCTGCTCCTCCCTCTTCTTTTCCCTCGTCCTCCGCGGGCTGGTCCTTCAGAACGGCGCTTGTACATGTCCAATGTGGAACCAGCTGTGCATATCCAGGCCCCCAAGACGGCCTCCGAAGGGACCAGACAGCGCAAGAGCGCACCAAGACGGCCCAAGACGCTCACACGGGGGCGGGAGGCCCCCAAGAGGCCCCCTAGAGGCCCCCCAGAAGCTGCCCAAAGGTCCTCAAGAAACCTAAATCGCCCAGGACGGTCCAAAACGTTCCCAGGAGACCCCCAAGAGGCTCCCAAAAAGTACCCCAGGAGGGGCCCAGGAGGCCTCCAAACCATTGGATTGTAACTGGCCCGAACTACTCCGAACAGCCCAAGGGGGCCCCCAAGAGGCCCCAGAGGCGCCAGAGGATTTCCACGATGCGCGCAACACGCACACTGGACGACGCCGAGACGGCCGAACGGCGTGCAAAACCCACAGGGCGGCAGACGAGCAGGTCAAACCATGTCACACCGACACACTGCGCCAGTTATATTTTCCCTGCGGCCGCGAACGACAAACCACTCTGGTACGGACTAAGACTTCCAGCAGGCAGGGCACACCAAGCCTGCGTTGCCGCGGTTGGGCGATGGCACTGCTTTTCGGGGAATCCCGGCCTCCAAAAGGCCCCCAAGAGTCAGGCCCAAGAGGTTCCCAAAAGGCCGCACAACGACTGGACTGTACGTGCTCCGGACGTGCACCCCGCGAAGCGAAAGGAATCATTGATGTTCCCCAACACAACAACAAATTAGCGGCACGGGTTCTGCTTGAAAGTGGCGTCCCCATCCAGGCGCTGCGCACTGTTCGTCTCCTCTGCTCTTTGGATGGAACATCACACGTTTCTTGTGACAGCCAGTACGCATTGATTTCCCCCGAGCAAGAAACAACCAAAGAGTGTGATGTTCCATATCTGAGGCAGCGCGCGTTGGGGCTGAATGGTGGTCTTGAGACGTCCGCTACCGCCCGTGCGCGGCCCATGTGGTTGGACCCGTCGCCAGGTCGTCGGAAGCGGGGCCGCGCGCGAGCGCCTTCCGTCCGCTGGGTGGGAACGCGCGCCAGTCTCCAAATTCAGTTGTGCCGGCATTGAATCTTAGAGATATGCTGGGTGGGAGGGTAGAAATGGGCAGGGACCGCTGACTCGTTCGGGCTGGCTAGCTTGCCTACTGCTCCTCCTCCTGCTCCTCCCCATCCTCCTCAGGCCTTCGACGCCTTGACTGTTTCACGCGCCTTTCGACCCCCTCCTGGGGGACAACCTCTTCCACGCCAGATCGTCTCCAGACTGCCCCAGAACATGCAAGCGGTCCGCGAACGCCGCGATCGGCAGCTCGCCATCGCTCGGACGTCCATTCCCCGTGCCTTTTTCGATCTCGTGCGCTTATTTCTCGCGAGATGACCCAGGATGCTCCTCGACGGCTCGCTCCGAGAAAACATGCACATGCCCGAGCGATGCCACGGCTAAACAAGCACCGCCCTGCATCTCTTCAGCACGTCGCAGGTTAGAGGCGGCCAAGCTGGTCGGGCCCGAGAAAATCGGTCAAAAGGGGGGCCATGGCTGCGAATCCGCTCAAAATAAGTCCGCGGACCTCTCCCGAGGTCCATCTTGTGAAGTTCTTCCCTGCCCCGTTCATGACTGCATACCAGACCACCCCAAGCAAACCCGAAGACCCCAATTTCGGGTTGGGGGGGTGCGGGTTCCACATTTGTTGTTTCAACGTTCCCCGACGTCCCCCTCCCCACCTGGGAATAGAGGGCAAACTTGGGCCTTCGAGTTGGGTTAAGGCGGTTGGGTGGGTGGTGACTTCCTGCTGCCCAGAACCAGCGCTGTGATCAACGAACAACAGACAGTCTGAAATGACTCTGGTAGGTCATATTGCATCCAATTCCATGCCGAAGGAGTACGATATGGGGTGTGGATGAGTAAGATAGGATAAGATCGATGTAAGGATCTTTCCAGCACATAGCGAATGCCAAGTCAGGTATCCGGGCAAATAGGGCGCGCGTGCCTTGAGCCATAAGACAGCGACGCGCAGGCTATACTGTTTGCAAGGAAAACAGCACGCGCAGTCTGGTCAACCACCAGACTGAAGGGCGAGATTATTCGCCGGCGAGTTTCCTCGCAAAACTTTTCCACGCACGCGCAGGATAGCCCCTCGGATATACAAGGGCTATCGGCCCGGCTAGAGGTAAGCCAAACAAGCTATTCCCCTCCGGGCAAAAGGGCATTAAGGCAAAGAGCCTGAGCCAATATGAACAGGCTCGTTGCCAAGCGTGAAAAGTATGGCTCGTTTCCGAGCAGGCAAGAGGGCGCCTCCGTATTAGGCGCCCGCGCTGGCAAGCTGGACCGCAGGGGCAACACGGACAGACTAAAAATGATTCGACTTAGGCTTGGTTTTGTCCGCGGGGCCCCGAAAAGGAACAAACTGCTTCACGTCGCACTTAAATGACTGAGTGCCTGACATCACTTCCAAAAGCAGCTCCCGATCGAAACTCCCCTTCGTATGCCCGTCTGCGGTCATGTCTCTAGTGTCACACCACTGTACGTTTTTCACTATACCTATATCCATGAGCTCACGTATCCAGCTGATATGTCCCAGCAAAGTACGTTCCGTCGGCATCTTAAGATCTTTGCTGGATAACGATTTGTATACAGACTCAGCGTCTATAGTAAGGGATACTTTGATAGCTAGGCCTCCAACTTCACGCATCTCACGTAGTTGTCGTGGGGGAAGTGCTCCGGCCTTGAGCTCGTGGAGAGTGATGGGCGTGGGGTAGCATTCATCAAGATTATGTGCAGCTGCAATTGCCTCAGCGGCATGGCTGGACCTCACCTGCAGTTGGTGTGACTTGCATAATCCGTCGCAAAGGTGAACGACGGATTTGCTTTGGGGCGAGTTTCCTCGCCGTGATACGTTCGCCCCATGAATGCCGTAGCTCTTGGTTCCATCGTCCTCCTCCCCGGTGAGCTTCCGATACACCGAATCACTATGTATGTCTACTTCATTCGTCGGTTTCATCCGAGGGAAGGTGATGCGTTTCGGGCTGCTGATCAGCTTCCGCGTCACAGCATTCAGTCGTCTGACTTGTAAGTTGGTGGGCTCTTGGATCTTCTGGAGAGATACCACATACACCATGAGCCAGACATGAGTAAGAAGGGCGTAGGCGAGAGCTCCTCGCAGGCTAACGAACATGTCGGTGATGAGTTTGGTAGCCTTGGCGTCTGCCGCTGCTCCCGTAAGCTCAGGATGTGTGATAGGACGTAGTTGTTTAATGTACTCGTCCTGGTCCACGATCACATCCCCGCGTTCATTCTTCGTGTAGCGAACGGCACAATTCGTGTAAGAGTGTTTGTTGAGCTTACATTTACCAAACACCTTTTCGACACGTTGTACATAGTCGTCTACGTTTTTCTCTAGGCCTGTCATGTTGATATCGTCGACATGTTTTGCTGTTAACAGATCCTGACTGAATTCGACCTCAGGACCGTAGCTTGTCGGTGTAAGGCCTATAGCTCGAGTAGTCGTACGAAGCTCGAGGGAGAACGCTCTTGGGGCGTCCTTTGCACCCGTTCCTGGCTTGAGGCGCTGAGGCATGGTCGGCTTTCATCATAAGAAGAGAAGCCTGGTAGGGTGCGAAGTGCCTGAGCACTTCCTGGTGGAAGGGTGAAGCAAACCGTGCGAGCCTCCTCGCCGGTGGCGTGAGCAAGTTCCTCATATGTCAGTCCTTCGAGGGGCGCTTTGCCGATATCCATAAATGCTAAGATCCATTCTGGATGACACGCCGCCTCG